ACTAATGCTTTAGCTCAGCAACATTGCAGGATATAAGATCCACACACAAAAAGTAATTGAATTTCTATATACTAACAGTGAACATGATGAAACCAAAATTTAACAACACAAAATCATTGAAAATCACTCAAGAGGAAATGAAAAACATATTTATACATTTAACAAATCATGTACAGGACTGGTTTTGTGGAAATCACAAAATGATGATGAAAGTAATCAAAGAAGACCTTAATAAATGGAGACATACACCATGTTTATAGGTTGGAAGTTTTAACATAGTAAAGATGTCGATTCTCTACAAATTGATCTAGGTTTAATGCAATTCCTATCAAAATCCCTGCAAGGTTGCTCATAAGCAAAGACAAGCTTATTATAAAATTTATATGGGAAGGCACAAGCCACAGAATAACAAAAACAATCTTGACAGAAAGAACAAAATGGAAGGCATCATTCTATCTGATATTAAGGCTTCCTATATAGCCAAAGTAATCAACAGTGTGATATTGGTAGAGGGACAAAAAACCAATAGAACAAAATATAAAACCTTAGAAGTAGACCCACACAAATATAATCAACTGTTTTTGAACAAAAGTGCAAAAGCAATTTAATGGCGGAAGGATAACCTTTTCCACAAACATCGTTAGAGCAATTGTACATCTGTGATGGTCAATTTTACATGTCAACTTGGCTCGACTATGGTGCACAGTTGTTTGGTCAAACGCTAGTCCAGATTTTGCTGTTATGGTAGTTTTTAGATGTGACATCAACACTTAAATCAGCAGACTGTGAGTAAAGCAAATTACCTTCCATAACGTAGGTGGGCCTCATCCAAACAGTTGAAAGCCATAAGAGCAAACACTTTCCCGAAAGAAGAAGGAATTCTCTTCCTGACTGCAACACAGAAACTGCCTGAGCTTCCATCCTGCTGCTCTGTGGAATTCAGACTCAAGAATGAAACATCAACTCTTACCTGAATTTCCATCCTAACTGCCTGCACTACAGATTTTGGACTTGCCAGCCCCCACAGACACATGAAGTAATTCCTTAAAATAAATCACTCGCTGTCTCTGTAAACACATATATATGTGTGTGTGTGTATATATATGTATATATGTGTGCATATAAATGTATAAATATATATGTATATATTTATTTATACTTAAATATGTTATATATATATATTTACATATATGTATACATACACTGTTGGTTCTGTTTGCGGAATCTGACTAATAAAACATCCAGAGACAAAAACAAAATCTTGACCTAAATCTCACACCTTATTCAAACATTTACTCAAACTATAGGACATTTAGAAAAACACATGGGAGAAAATTCGGGGGATCTAGGGCTAGGCAAAGAGCTCTTTGAGTTGACTTAAAAGTGTTTACTCTGTGAAAGCCCATGTGAAGAGGATGAAAATATAAGCTAGAGATTGAAAGAAAATATTTGCAAAGTAAATAACTGACAAAACACTAGTATCCAGAATATATACAGAAATCTCAAAACTCAACAGTAAAATAAAAAAATACAACTAGAAAATGCAAAAAAGATTTCAAGAGCCATTTCACTGACAAGGATATATAAATGGCAAACACACGAAAAGATATACATAATTAGCCATTAAGGAAATGCACATTAAAACCACAATAAGACAGCACTACCCACGTATTAGAATGGCTAAAATAAAAGTTAGTGATAATACCAAACGCTGGTGAGGATGCAGAGAAATTGGATTTCTCATACATCACTGGTGGGAATATAAAACGGTACAGCCACTCTGAAAAATAGATTTGCCATTCCTTATGAAATTAAACAGACATTTGCCACACGGCCCAGCAATTTCGCTCCTGGAATTTATCCCAGAGAAATGAAAACTTAGCTCCACACAAAACCTACACACAAATGTCAATAGCAACTCTGTAATAGCTGAAAACTGGAAACAACTTAAATACTCGTAAATGTATGAATGGTTAAACAAACTGTGGTAAATCCATACAATGAAATACTACTCAGCACCAAATATGAACAAACTATTGACACATGCAGCATCCCAGATGGAACCCAAGGACAATAGGCTGGGGGACAATAACTAATCTCAACAGGTTACACACACGATTCTATTATTATAACAGTCTCCAAATGACAAAGTTACAGAGTTAGAGAACTGATTAGAACCAGGGGTTAGGGACACATAGGCGTGACTACAAAGTGATACCATGAGGGAGATCCATTTTGGTGATGGAACAGTTCTGTATCTTGATTGCAGTGGTGGTTCCACGAACATACACATGTGATAGAATTGCACAGAACTACACACATGCACACAAACATACACACACACACACTCATGGAAAAAGAGATGAAATCTACATACAGTCTCTACCACTGTCAATTTCCTGTTTTTGATATTGTACTATAGTTATAGATGTTAAGAAAATCTCGGTGAAGGATATACAGGTCCTGTCTTAACTATTTTTACAACTTTCCATTAAAGTATAATTATTCCAAAATAAAAAGTTTAATTAAAGGAAAAAAACTACTATAAACTGTGATTAATTCTGGGTAATGGTTTACATTCTTCATATTTTTCTCCATTTAAGAAACTGATATATTACAGCTTTATAATTTATATTTATATTAATTTTATAATTTTAAACCAGTGAAAAATGTTATAAACACTAAAAATACTGGAAAGAAATATAAACAGAATTTATCTCTAGGTTGTGGTACTATGGATGCTTTTTTTCCTTCTCTGTATTTGAAAGTCATTTTTGATGTGCGTATATTATTCATAATGGAAAAATTACATTTATTTTAATAAATCACATAAAACTCAGTCAGAAAATATAAAAGAATATGGAAGTTCTCCAGAAGTTATGTAAATTGATTCCCACAAAATGTGTTAGGCAAAAAAAAAGTGCAAAAGAGCATCTATAGTAGACTACCTTTTGCATAACAATGAAGGGGATATAAACAATGTACATGTGTCTGATCCACTGTGCAAAAAACAAGAGGTAAGATAATCAGAAACTAATACAAGCTAATTATTTCTCAATTGGGAGTAGCGGAGAGTGATGAGAATGGGACAGAAAAGTTGCAGGGATGGGAGTGGGGTAGAAGGATGGGAAAATGATAATTTCCTGAGTATAAACCTATACAGCTTTGAACCTTAAAATCATTTTGTATTTTGCACCTCAAAAATTAAAATAAAATAAAATTAACAAGGACAGGGGAAAACCTCAAAGCCTACTGTTTTTCAAATGAATACTATAACCATATTGAGGGGGAAAATGTGAATTACCCCAAGTAACTCTTGAATAAAGTATTTTTACATATATATTCAAGACCAAGGCAAAAAGAAGTAAAAACAAATATTGAATCTTAATTAGTATTTTTTTCACAGTGGAATGAGTTAGCAATTCTGAAACTACTTAATGTATTCTAGATGCATTCTACGATGAAATAAAATATATATATATATGGAAATTAGGAACAAAGTGTGTCATTGTCAGAGAAAACAGTTATAAATATGAAAGGGTAGGAAGCTAGAATGAACCCTATATTGTGAATTCAATTTGAAAGTATAATTTTGACCTCATGCTTTTTTAATGTAGATATCTGGATATATATAGAAATATATGTAAAATATGAGTGTGAATATACATATACACGTATTCATATATATGAATATGTGTGTGTATATATATATATGAATATTATATAGATATATATTTCCTAGGTCTGCCTGCTTATGGGGCCAAAAGCAGTGACACTCCAGTAGCAAAATGCACAATTTGCACCTAGGTCTTGGTTTCTAAATACCATTTCCCATTAAAATGAACCAGGGGTCTTTAGAGAATGGCTGATTTTAGGAACTGAAGCAGGAAACATACCAAATGAACCTAGAACATCTTGTGATTCCAGGAAGTAAGGGCGCACTCAAAAGAAAAAAAAAATCCCACAATGATAAGAGTATGTCGAAGAAAGACAGGAGCCATTTGAAAGAACTCCCAATGGGCAAAGCTAGAACAATTTGAACAATGAAATAAAATACTACTGGATTAGAACCCAGGCTACAACATAAATATCCATGAGTCCATATTGTTACAAATAAATGACTGAATAAATAAATGGAGAAGAAAAGACAAACCTTCTGTGCAGAAGAATTCAAAATAATTTATGTAGATACTGAGCCCTCAAGAAGGTAGAACATAGTTTCCTACTCTTTAAGTGTGGGCTATGCATAGTGACTTCTTTCAGTGAAGTACAATATGGAAAGGGAAAAAAAGAGTAACTTTACAGTGAGAAATCTGACAAACATTGCCTCAGTCAGGCGATCAAGGTTCACATCATCAAGTATGTACACTTGAAAGGGCACTTTACCTCTGTGGTCTTCCTCCTAAGAGCACATAAACCCAGACTAATCATAAGAAACACATCAGACAAATCCTAACTGAGGGACATGTTACAGAATATCTGACTAGTTCTCCTCACAACTTTCAAGGCCATCAAAAAACAAGGACATTATGAGAGACTGTCACTCTCAAGAGGAGCCTAAGGATACACAACAAATAAACGTAATGTGGTATCCTGAGTGGAATCCTGGAAAAAGACGTCAGGTAAAAGCTAAGGCAATCTGACTGAAGTATGGGATGTAGTTAATAATAATGTATCAACATTGATTCACTGATTATAACAAGTGTGCCATACTATTGTTAGACATTAATAACAGGGGAAACTGGGTGTGTTGCTTAGGGGGGAGGATGGGCAACAGGGAAATTTGGGGGTGATGGTATGTTCTAATACTGGATGTAGTGATGGTTGCACAACTATAAATTAATCAAAAGCAATAAATTGTACACTTATCATGGGTGAATTTTATGGTAAACAATACTTCAATCAGGCTGTTTAAAAATGCATTGGTTGGTATATTGACAAAATGAGTATAACAATAAAAATAATTTTTAAAACACTTGAAATTTTGTAGTTCTAATTACCATATCAGGACCACACACAGTGCCATCTTGTACAAATGTTTCATCTCTGTCTTCAGGTCTTTCAACTGTCGTAATTGAATTTCTAGGAAGCTTCTCTTTGTCTAGAAATGTAGACACACATATTTCATCTCGTACATGTGTGTAAATCACAGATAAATTGTCACGTGCTACTAATGCTCTGTGTGGCCAGGCACAAACTAATTTTCCACATAGAAGATTACTAGAAGCATAAGGCAGAAAAAAATTTCTCTTATCATTTACTGAAATAACACAGATTGCTGATATAGCTAAGTTAAAAAAGTGTTTTACTAATTTAAACCCATGCTTCAACAATTTTCTCTCAGTAAATTTTTTTGAGCACACTGACTTATGTATGATGTGCCTCTTTTTGTTTTGTAAGGTAATGTGACAAGGGAAAAATTAATGATGTTTACAATCTGAAAGCCCTGACCTGTCCTATATTAGTTTCTGAAATTAAAGCAAATGATCACTGGTCTTTAATATTTTTATTTTAAAAATGGGATAAATAATTCTTACTACAAATGTTTGATGTATATAAATATATAATGTATATATACTACCTAACACAATGTCTAGCTCATCACAACAAGAAATAGAGGCAATTTTTATGATCATTATTGCTGTAACATTATAGGCACTGAACACGTTATTTCTAAGCAACGGGTAATACTGTTCAGCTCAGATCATGAAACAAAGAAAACTTCATATAAAATGCCATTTTAGTGTGTACATAATAATACATTCTAGCATCTTAGCAATATATAACCTACATTCCAAAATTACAATTTTCTAAATACATACGGATAATCACAATAATATCGGCCACAGTTTCCATATCTATCTCCTCTTGAATTTACTTCCTCATAACAAGCAAACGGAGCACCTCTAGAAGCTAAAAGAAAAAAAAACTTAAGTAATTTATAATACATAATTCCAATTATCATTATAGAAACAATAGACTTATTCTGGAAATTATAATGTGATCCCTAGGGGATTACCTAGCATTAACATGTTGCTAGGGGTAGATTTAGGATTTAAAAGAGAGCTCCTCATTTTAAGCCTGGTAGACTTTGTTCTGTACCAAACAGAAAACAGAGTAAACAGCAACATTATTCAAGAAGCCCTATATTGTCAGAAAAATAAGCATCCATGGCCTTCTCTACTTCATCTAAATTGTTTCCTTTCTGCCTTAGTTTCCTACCCAATGTGAAAACATAGTTTGCTCTTATTCCAAACAAAACAGGAATGAAATAATATCTATAATGCAATACTGATAAGAAACCCAAAAAGCATTTGATTTAACTCTTCTTGTTCCATACTAGAGTCCTCATCTCTGTTCCGTAGTATCCTAACAATTACTAAGAATTACTGAATTTTAAAATTAGGAAGGACATTAATGTTCACTTACTTCAGCCCTTTTATATATTTAGTTATGTCTAATTTAAAAATCATGAAAAATTCAAACATGTATTGTAGGAGAGAAAGAACTATTCCTCTACCCTCTAGGTTCTTCTGGCTGGCCCAAGAATTAAACTGACATGAGATAGAATAACAGGAGAAAATCAAACAAAGTTCAATAACATCTATACATGGGAGAAACCCAGGAAAACTGAGTAACTTGCCAAAATGACTGAAGCCACCACCTTAAATACCATCTTTAGTTAAAGATAAAGGAGGACGTTGTGGGTAGTAGTTTGGGGACTTCAAAGGGGAGGAAGGCAATTTACATGGGGATGGAAAAGCATATATTTGGTAAACAAATGTTTACTGGGCCGTCTATAGACAATGTGACCCAAGAGTGAACTTTGATCAAAATAGGGCTAGCAAGGTTTCTCCCAGTCTACCACACCTAAAGTTATCTATGGGGATAGCTCCTTCCTGGGACAGGCCTACTGTCTTAAATTCTTTTAGGCAGTTTGGGGGAAGGTCAAAGTCTCTTTCTGAGTCTTTTGTTCTTAAAAAGCAAGCCAAAGAGACACATTTTTGGGATGGCAAAATTCTGATCCCCTACTATATAATAGCTGCCCCATCACTTTGACTTGGTCATTTAGAGTTGGGTTGTGTTGATTATGTTAATCACGTGTAATAAGAACTGAGATCTTTTGTTGTCACCATTATTAATTGACAAGGGAGCTCTCTTCAGCAATTTCACAGGTTTTCATAGTTGGAGAACATGATCTATAAATTTCACTCTCTCTCTCCTGAAAGACACAATCCATAAATGTACAGGATGTTACAAAAACAGGTCAAAATAGATTTGTGAGGAGAATCCACCATAATCAGCCATCCTCTTTTGAAAAGGCTTACTCTTAAACTGACCCAATAAGTAATTAGCTTTTGTTTGCTTTGCTCCAATCAAAATACTGCTTTGATTAAATCTAATTTGAACCTTCCAATTCTCCCAAATTCCACACAGCACCAGGAATAGGATGGTGTAAAATTTAAGGGGGTAAGGGAGAAAAACTCAATAATCAAATAACATCTTACTATAATATTTTTTAAAAAGTCAAAATTAATTGCAGGGAAAATCCATGATGAACAAAACACTAAATTTTAGATAGGGACAGGTCATTGTTTGTTGTGTAACCCTGCTTTACTGCACCACTGGAACCGCCCTTTCCAATCAGCCTACGGCTCCCTCGAGTGGTGTGGGGAACTGCATGAGTAACCTGCTGCCATCACCTCACATGCACTGGAGGGAAAAAGGAAGCAGTGAAACGTGAGGTATCTCCAAGACTGCTCCCAGAATCTCCAACCACAATGAACAACCCAACATCCTCTCCAGTGGCCTTTTTCAGTCCCACTTTTGAGGCTTAGGATGGCAGGTATTTCTGCATTGTTTTCTTGATTCAAAGACCTGCTGCCCTGGCCAAGCCACTCCTGACCAGAATTTTTTTCCCTCCCAGGACCATATCCACTGTGGTTCTGTCATCTAATTCTCCTGGGGCCCAAGAGATTTAGGGATAAATGGCAGCAACTTTCCTATCCTTGTCTCCATTTCACAGGCTTCGAATTGAGATCACCACAAAACCCAAAAGCACAAAGATAGTGATTGGAGGTTAAGTTTGGGACACTTTAGGACAGAACCTTGACACTCTTACAGTGGTGCTGAAGTCACCTCAGTTCCCACAACCCCAGGTGCACGTTCTTGGACAGACAATGCCAATGGCTGTGCACATCAGGAACTGCAATGACCCGGTGTGGGAATGCTCTTGGCAGAGGTTCTCAGAAGGTAGTGGCATCAAGAGGACGCATGTCTCACCTGGCAGGGCCAAGTAAAAGTCAATAACTGTATTTTGGTTTTGATTTTTGAGTTTTTTCTTTTTTGGTTTGTTTCTGTTTTGTTTTGTTTCCTCATGTGGCTGCAAGAATCTCTAGAGGAAGGGCATTTATTTTGTGGACTTCCATCTAATTGTTGGCTTTAGTTGTTAATCCTTTGTATTTTATAACTCGCAGCGCTTTCCCACCACATTTTATTTCCAGGGCAGGACTGTGAGGACTGTAGGTAGATATATATGGGTGAAGAGACCCAGTGCCCTGCACTTGGTGACACTGAGTCCAGTGCTCAAGGGTATTACAGGCAGCTACTCCTAAATTTGACCCCTTAGGGGGTCTCAGCTGTTGAAGTGTAGAGTAAATACAATCAAAAGAAAGCATTATTTTAGTCTCCTATGATTGAATATCTGAGACAGAGAGAGGAAAATGGTGAGCCAATTCCATCAAATGTTTCCATGTAAAAATACTCCAGACCCCATCCATCACTGCAATGTCTAATGGAGCTTAGGGAAATGAAAACATAATAAAACAGGCCCTGGCTGGCGGCAGATGGTCTGATAAATACACCCTCCAGTGTAAAATACAAAGAAGTTGCCATCAAGGGAGACCTACGCTTTGATTGCCTAGGCTGAAATTATGAGCCTGAGCAGCAAATTAGTAAGCAAAGAAAAAAATGTATGTAATTTTTAGAGTTAGAATTAATTCAGGTGAGCTGAAAGTAATAGAACCTTATACAGTCTGAACCCTGAAATCATCACTGGCTTGTAATCATCAGTGGCTCTTAGACCAAGAGTCTTCTGTGGCTTTTAGTCATGCAGGGGTGGAGTAAAATGCTATATAGGTTCTATGTAGTTTTTAATGTCCACTCCATACTAGAGGGTGCAATGAGTAAGTGAGTGAATCATTGAATGGGGTCAGGAATCAGTGTTTAGATCCATCTCTCTCCCCTAGACAGTGTGATATAGAACAAGTTGTGTCACCTCTATGGACTTCACTTTCTTCGTAAAGAGAAGTTAAGTAACCAGACTCAGATGTCTCTCTCATCTAAAATATTTTGATTATACTAAAGTTTTACGTTCATCAAATATACTTTCAAATATACCTTTAATTTGTTGCAAGCAAAGGGGTAGGCCTTCTTTAAGCATGCAACCTTATATATAGTCATGTAATTTTTGTTATTAATAAAACTTTTATTAACTTTTTCCACTTGGCTCAAAATATGGGAGATGGATGAATACAGAGGTGCACATTTTCCCCTTTATCTCAGGCTCAAATATGACACAGCATGGCATTCTTTCTATATAATCTCATTCTTTCCTTTATTTGGTGAGAAGTTAACTTTCCTTTTGCTGTTTTCTCCTTGCTTGAGCAAGAATTCTAAACAAATTCAGCTTTTTGGTTTTCAGAGTAGAGTCAATTATGGTCACCTGAAGGTCTTCTACTGGAAATACCTTGAGGACTCTTGTGCATTTTGCTCACTGGAACTGTAATACTATAGAACAGAACTGAACATTCCCTGAGCCCTCTGTGTTCAAGTCCCATTCTGGTAAGTATCTCCAGTGGCAATCAGAAATGCTGAACTACTTTTCATCGTACTGCTGCATTTCTATCCTATAATTGTGACCATTAGGTCATTGCGAAACCATGTGTGCTTTGATGGACTCTTGAATCTTTGAAAATTGTAGAATGAAATTAAATCTGTGATAAGAACTTCTCTTCTTCAGTAAAAAAAGGTGAGGGGAGGACTTTATATGCTGTTGCTTTTATTAATCAAGTTATGGAATTGTTTGTCTTTTCTGTTTATGATATTTGACTCTGCATTGACTGTTTGGTTTATTTATTTTATTTTATTTTATGTTAATTTTTTTGTGTATGAGGAAGATCAGCCCTGAGCTAACATCCAATGCCAATCCTCCTCTTTTTTGCTGAGGAAGATTGGCGCTGGGCTAACATCTATGCCCATCTTCCTCTACTTTATATGGGATGCCACCAGGGCATGGCTTGACAAGCGGTGCGTCATTGCGCGCCTGGGATCCGACCTGCAAACCCCAGGGCGCCAAAGCGGAGTGCGCACACTTAACCACTGTGCCACCAGGCCGGCCCCTGTATTGAGTGTTTTAAAAGAAACATCAGAAGACTTAGATTGTGACACAGATGCTATAAGTCATTGTCTAGACAAGCCTTGAGGAAAAACATGTAAGAGGGCCCCTTGCACTGGTGTTCATTCACTGGAGCAACAAACTGTGCTCTGAGATTCTCTAAAAAACCCTCAGGAGGAGAGTCTGTCTTGTTTAAAATCAATCTCACTTTAACATAGGAAAACTCCCTACCATGTTCCATAGTCTGAGGCTAATTGTTTCTGTGCCATTAACTGTATAGTATTGAAGGAAATAATCAAAAGACTGAGATGCAGTCTTACATCTTCCAGATGCTGTCTGTAGTGACTCTGTTAAAACTTGCCTTTCTGCATGTAAAACACACACCTGACAGAATTTTGCTGAACAGATTCTCAATTTAATCCCAATTCTTAGCTTACCTCATTAACCAGTACAATTTCACCAAAGATGATTTAGGATTACAATTGCCATCATGGGAAACTTTTGACATGGCAAAGGT